TGCCACTGCCACTGCCACTGCCACTGCAACTGCCACTGCCACAGCCGCCGCAGCCGCCACTGCCATTACAATTGCTACGAGCTTGCCTTCAACAGGCATCATGACAGCGTGTCTGTGCGGCCGTTTCTGTTTAAGCGGGGATGCAACCCTGTAAGAAATTCCCAGGGGGTCACAGCTATCCAAGGAAGTCTTTACATATGACCTTTAGTTGAGAAGCCAGCACGGGTCATTGTAACACCCCTGGCCGCGCGCCGCACCACGCAAATCGGCACCGGGCCACACAAACACTCCACGGGTCACAAAAATACGCGGTCGCCCCGAGCGGGGGCGGCGCGTGCCCTCTTCGGCCTCGGGGCAGCCAGGACCGCCCCAGAGCCCCAGAGGCGGCGGCTGGCGCGCAGGCCCAGTAGGCCACCCACCTAGTGACCACTAGCTCTGTCGGAAGGGAGGTCTCCAGCGAGACCATGATTTTCAATGGCTTCTCCCCAGCCCCAAGACTGGAACACGGTCAGTCGTGGCGGGCGCTCCAGCAAGCCTGGTCGCACAAGAAATAATGGTCACACCGACGTAAATTAGTGACCACGCAAAAAATAATGCTCACATCGTCAAGCATGAATGGTCGCACTGACAGTATATAGTAACCACGAAAAAAAAAACGGTCACATCGACATGCAACACCGCGACACTAGTGATCAGCAGTCGTGGCCGCCTTCGCCCGCGCACTCTCTCCACAGAAAACTATTAGAAACAAGGCCGCGCGCTCTCGGCGTTCACTTCGACCCCCGTGTCCCCATGGGGACTTTCACACTCGAGCGGTTCGGACGCCCGCTCTGACTCGGGCGCCTCATGACAGATCTACAATATGGTATATATATAGCTCTGACGCTGGGAAATCCGATGTGCGATGATTCCAGCGAGCCGACGCGCTGTTTTCCGAGCGGCGCCGAAGCTCACCCTCAATCTCATATTCTTCTGTGAGAAATAATGGGCACGACATTTCTGAAGAAACCGGCGGGTCAGAATACCGCGCTTTTTGGAGTCCCGACGGGTCCCGGGGCGTGACGCCGGCGGGGGTCCCCGGGGAGCTCGCGCCTGAAAGGGTCGGCGGTCGCCGGCAGCAGCCGCAAAACCTTCGCAGTAGAATGGGAACGGCGGGACTGAGGAAGCTGGCCTCGAACATATCCCTACCCCTAAGATCGACATGCCAAAAAGCGATGACAATCTTAGGGATGCGCCCTCAAAAAATAAGGGAATCCCTAAGATTGGCATCGTGATGAGGAGATGCCCAGCATAGGGATAGGGATATGTTCCAGGCTGGTAACTGAGGGACGTGAAAATAAACGCCTCGCTCGAGACATCCGCCAAATCTGTTCCGAAAGCGAAGGATGTTGGGACAGAAAACAAGCAAACCGCTTGAGACATCCCCACAGAACGGCCGCGAACGGGACCGCGCAACACCCCTCGGCGGCCCCCCTTAGGGACGTGAAAATAAACGCCTCGCTCGAGACATCCTCCAAATCTGCTCCGAAAGCGAAGGATGCTGGGACTAAAAACACGCAAACCGCCCGAGGCATCCCACAAAACGGCCGCGAACGGGGCGCGCGTGAGTCCCAACATGAACAAGTCTGATTAGGAACAGGTCTGAATATGAGTAGGTCTGAGTGTGCCAAATTTTGTGTGTGAGAAAGTCTCGGCCGCGGCGGCGGTGCCAGCGAAGCCGCGGGGGGCCGCGCTTGGCCGCCCAGGGGGGCGCGGCCGGCCTGCCAGGGGGCCTCGCAGGCGGGGGAGCCCGGCTCCTCTGCCTGCGCCAACGGTGCAGCCGTGGCCCGGGTGCGCCGAGGAGGAGGAGGAGGGGGGGGAGGAGGGGGAGGAGAAAGAGGAGGGGGAGGAGGGGGAGGATGAGGGGGAGGACGGGGGGGAGGAGGAGGGGGAGGAGGAGGGGGAGGAGGAGGGGGAGCAGGAGGAGGAGGGGAGGAGGAGGAAGAGAAGAGGAGGAGGGAGGGGAGGAGGAGGGGGAGGGAGGAGGAGGAGGAGGAGGGGAGGAGGAGGAGGAGGAGGAGGAGGAGGAGGAGGAGGGGAGCAGGAGAGGGAGGGGCGGGAGGACGGGGGGAGGAGGCAGCTCCTGGGCCACTGAGCCTCATCAGTTAGGGGGCCACTAAAGCCATATTAAATCCGACTGTGCCCGATCAAACGGAGCTGCGTGGAATTGAACGGGATTGTACTTGATTCGGGCGCTTTTCGAAGACGGATATACCAACCCCGATGCATGTTCCCAGGATGCGCATCCTAACGCATCATGGCCCGAGGCGTTTGCGCCGACGAGTGGGGGCCAGCGGCCGTGTCGAAAGAAGAAGGAAGAAGAGGAGGAAGAGGGAGAGGGAGAGGAAGAAGAAGAGAGGGCCGTAAGGTCTGGGAAGGACATGATGCTCGTTGGACGTGTGGTAGAGACCAGGGAGCAGTGGGACGTGGTGCCCTAGGATCGCTGATAGAGGTTCCAGGATCGAGACTCCAGCCCAGACATCCGAAACATGGATCTTCTCAATCCCGCTGTTTTCCTTCATTTCGGCTTCCAGGGGCTGTTATCGGGGCCTGGGGGCATCCAAAACGGATCTGGGGCGAAAAACTGGCTCCACTGAAAGGGGATCGGGACCTCTGGAGCCGCGCCACTGAAAGGGGCTCACTGATTACACGGAAATCAAGCCTTAGTGTACAAGAGAGCGTCCGTGCCGGACATAGGGTTTAAAAACAAGTGGACATGATGCTGGACACCATCGACATCGGCCCATAGAATTACAGTGTCTGTATTTCGGCGCTGCCAGTTGTTTTAGATATTGATTGGGCACGAAGCCTGCCTTGGGCAACCCTACATCGACGACGACTTCCTTGGCTTTGAAATCTGCCGGGCCGACACCGCCTTGCCGACGTGCCAACCGAGCCAGTGATGCATGGGCGTGGCCGTCAGCACTTCAGCACTGCCAGTGTGAGCTGCAGCGCGGGTTTCGAAACTCACCTCGGGAGGGGAGATTCGACAGGTCAGAAGAGACAATAGTGCAAGGCCACCAGGGCGTACTTCCTCCTCCTTCCTCCTACCTCCCTACCATCCTGAAACCCACTCCTCGTCCCTCGGCAACTCCTGCTCCTTCTGCTCATCCATCTCATGCACCCTCCTCATCTTCCACACGATCCCTCCTCCTCATCATTCACGTCATCATCATCATCACCACCAACACCACCACCACCGCCATCATTAGCACCATTACAATCATTTTCATTATCACCACCGTCACCATCACCATCACCATCACCATCACCACCATCTTCGGCATCAGCATCCTCAGCATCGTCCTCATCATCCTCATCCTCATCCTCATCCTCACCATCCCCATTCCCATCATATCCATCACCACCATCTCCATCACAATCACCATCACAATCATCATCGTGATCATCGTAATGGCCATCATCATAACCAACATAATCATCATACTCATCATCAACATCATCATCACCATCATCATTATCGTCGTCGTCTTCGTCATCGTCATCGGCGTTGTCGTCATCATCATAATAATCAGCATCATCAGCACAATCGTCAGCGTCATCGTCATCGTCATCGACATCATCATCATCATCATCATCATCATCATCATCATCATCATCATCATCATCATCATCATCATCTTCATCATCATGACCACAATCACCACCACCCTCACCACCATCATCACCATCATCATCATCAGCAGCAGCAGCCATCCTCATCACCACCACCGCCATCATCGTCACCATCAGCATCATCATCACAATCATGATAGTCGTCATCATCATTATCATCATTATCATCATCATCATCATCATCATCATCATCATCATCATCATCATCATCGGCATCATCATTATCATCATCATCATCATCATCATCATCATCATCATCATCATCATCATCATCATCATCGTCATCGTCATTGTCATCGTCATCGTCACCATCATCGTCATCATCCTCCTCATCATCATTATCACCAGCATCATCAACATCCTCATTAGTATCAACATCGGCATACGTATCATCATCATTATCACCATCGTCATACCCATCATCATCACGTCTCCCCTCTGCCTAGCTCCTCAGCTTTGAGAGCCCCCAGGGGGCCGGGGCCGACGCAGCCGGAAGGGCGAAGCAGCGGGGGCGGCGCCAGGGGGCGCGGAACCTCCGCGTCGGCCGAGAGCCCGGCGTCGCCCGACCCCGCGCCTGTCCGCGGGGGAAGGGGAGGAGGAGGAAAGGAGGAAGAGGAGGAGGAGGAGGAGGAGGAGGAGGAGGAGGAGGAGGAGGAGGAGGAGGAGGGGGAGGGAGGTTCCAGGGTGAGGGGGGGGGGGATCGCTCTCTTCAACCCACGGGGGATTTCCACTGCAAGCTCTATCTCCCCCCTCTGCTGCTGCAGTTCCTCCTCCCCGCCCCCCCCCTTCCCCCTGCCCCCGCCCCCCCCTTCGCCCGCCCCGCGCGCCGACCCCCTCCTCGAAATCGCCGTCTTCGTCCGCCCCGAAATGGCCGACGCGTCGCGCGCGACGGTTTCGGCGCCTGCCTCGCGAGAGACCGCCGCCATTACCATCGCCATCGTTATCACCGCCAATGCAATCACCATCGCCACCCTCCTCCTCTCTGCCTTCGCCCGACCAGGAAAAACAGAGGCGTCGCAATTGACTTCCGGCAAGCGAAAACGAAAAATGCCACATGTGCCTGTTTTTTTTCCGCTTCCCCCCCCCTCCCCCTCGCCACCTTCGCTGTCGTCGTCCCCCCGAAACGGCCGAAGCGTCACGCGCGGCGGTTTTGACGGCTGCCTCGCGGGGTGCCAACATCGCCATCATCACTTCTGCTGACTGTCCACTCAGAAACGGCGAGGGCGTCGCGCGTGGCACTTCAGGCGTCGCATGCGACGCCCCTGCCGTCGTCGGCATTACCGCCGCCGCCGCCGCCGTCGCCATCGTCGTCGCCGCCCGCGGGCCAGGGGGCTTGGATATATAGCGCGTCAAACTTAGGGCGCCCGCGCCACCTCGCGCAAGCGCCGCCGAGGCAACCGAACAACCGCGGCGGCGGGACCTGCCGCGAGACAGGTTGGATCGCCCTGGGATTTTTCATATATATAAAAACAAAAAAAATGGCCGAGCAAACGATGGGAAATTACCCTTTGTGACGTTCGCGCGCACATGGCCCGCGCTCGTGGGGCGGCCAGTCAGCAAGTACACTTCTGCGGCACCGAAGTTGCGCCAATCACCCGTGGAGACATTTAGCAGCAGATGCCGCCCCAGCTCAATTGCCCTGCCACGGCCGAGGAACAAGTCCAGCACGACGGTTTTGCGCGCCATCGCCTCGGACGTCGGTGGGGCGGAGGTGCGCGCAATGTGCTCAACGGCCAAGCCAGTGTACACCTCTCTAGAGATGCCCATGCTGGAAACGTCCTCCACCGACAGCGCTAAGTCCAACGTGCCCGTGGTGACTGGCTCCACCAAGTCGAAAACCGACCCCATGCCGCTCGCTACCTTGTTATCGTGGCAGCCGTAGTGCAAGTTGGCCCATTCTGAGCCCCAGGTCATTCGCCATCGAGCGCTCAACCACGAAGTTACCGCTCGCCGAATCCGTGGAGGGGACGCGCATCGTCATGGCAAAATGTCGAAGCTGCGGGTGTAGCAATGGTCTCCAACACTGCTCGTGTATCTGCTTCTGCCGTGATCCTGTCGGTTGCCTGCGCCCAAGAGAGAGAGAGAGAATCCCCGATGTGCGCCACGTACTGGTCTGTTCTATTCTGGTCGGGGGCCGTCACCCACATCGCGTACCCCTACTCTTTTTCCAGCAAATGAGCTCGCGTTGACGCCTGGCTCGTCGAAGCTGCGGGCGGCAACCTGCCGCCTGATGAAGAAGCCAGCACCCCTAATAGCTCCAATTCCGCCTGGTCGGCGATGGCACCTGCGCGGCCAAAAATATCTTCGACGTGTTCGGACACATTGGCATTCGTCGGCGTGGCGTCGTAACTGCACAGTTCGATCCACACATCTTCATTTGATGCTGCATGCGCGGTGGCGTTCGCAAACTTATGTTGCGCAACGCGGCCGGACTGGGCCGAACACGTAGCCAAATGATTGAGTTTTCTTCTCGATGTACCGTCGCGACACGTCCAACCTATCCGCTAGAGCAGCATTGCTCGACAAGCGCGGTGCATCATACTGGCAGAAATACGATGCCAACTCCACGGTCTCTGGGTCGGGGCGACGGCCGCCGCCTCCCTTGCATGGGTACATGTCTACCTGGTCGAGAAAGCGGTGCAGAGGGAACCTGGCGTAACCCGTCGGAGCTGCAGGCGTATCTACGACCTCGTGATGGGCCAGGGGTCAGAATATCATGGGCGGCTTCCGGGGGACAGCGGCGAAACGTTGAGGATTCTCATCTGATCGAGCTGCTGGGTCATGAAAATCATCAGGAGCTGTTGGGTCACGAGAGTCATCAGGAACTGCGCCGACCATCATACCTACATCTGCGGGTGCTGCTGATGGATCATGAGAGTCATCAGGAGCTGCGCCACCGATCATAGCTACATCTGCAGCGCCCGCGTCGGCCGTGAACTGGGCTGTCCACGGGCATGGCTGGCGACCCCCGAGCTCGAGACCGTGCTCCATGAGCACGCACAAGAATATGGACGGCGTGCAAAACTGCACGCGTAGCAGCAATACGGAAGAAGGCGCACAACTGACACGGCTGAACCATACTGCTATGGACAATATGGTGGAGGGGGGGAAGATGCTTTCGGATGGAAAGAACATGTCATGCCTGTCGCGGTAAATTTGCCATCGGCCCTAGACCCTAGAGTTCCCAGGGTCCCCAGGGCCCCCCAAGAACCCAAGCGTCATCCAATTTTCCCTCCTCCGCCCCGCCTGTCCTCCACCTCCTGCTCCCGCCCGTCCTCCGCCTCCGCCCTCATTTTCCTATTCTCCGGTCGGGAACAAGCCAAAAGAGGCCGCGGGACAAGCTTGCTTGGTTGAGCTGGTGTGAGCCACCCGCCGTGGCCCCGCGCGTCACTCACAGGAGCCGCAGCCGAGGCCCGGCGGGCAGCAGGAGCCTGACACCAACGAGTGCCGAGGCTGCCAGGGCCCTGAGGCCAGGACAGTAGGAGTGGCCAAGCCATCATAAACACTCGATATACCCGCGGATGAGGAGGAAGAGGAAGGAGAGGAGGGAGAGGAGGAGGAGGAGGAGGAGGAGGAGGAGGAGGAGGAATTAAGGTACCCTGAAACAGACGAGAAGAGGGCAAGCGGGCACGAAGCGAGACAAGGGCAAATAGTGATCGTCCGCAGCGCCCGTCGCTAGCTCTCTCACCTATGGAGTAGTGGTTGGGCAGCTCGGCTCGCTGCGGTCATCGCCGCAGGGCGTGAGCTCGGGTCGGCGTGATGTTTCATTCTGTTATATATATATATATATATATGTGAAACGCTAGATGCGCTCGACCGTCGAGCGCAACGAAAGCGGATTCTGATTCTCGGGCGGGTACGCAGCTGCGGGCCCAAGGCCCCAGGAAGCGAGCGTCGAACGGAGGGGGGGAGGATCAGGGGACCAGAGGAGGCTCGAAAGCGAGGGGCAGGTGAGGTCGTGGGGAATTAATATGGCTGGCTCCCGCACCCGAAAACGCATTGTTTTGGGGACAGGCGGGCACGTGCATACGGCCAGTGGTAGTCCAGCCACCGCTGGGTGTCTCAAATGTGGCCCAGCGGCAGCTGGGGCGCACCGTTTTGAGCGATTCCGTGAGCGCTGACCAGCGCTTTTGTAACTCTCCTGGCGCCGACGGCGCCTGGAGGCCCCAGGCCGAGATGCGTTTGAGCAGAGTGACTGCAAACGGCGATGCGAAAGCTTGCTCTGCAAGCTTGCGTGCCAACGTCCGCTGGTATTTCGGGCGACGCGGCGGGACAACAGCTGCGGCCTCGCGCAGTTCGAGGCGGGCGGCGTGCAAAGCGGCTGAGACAGCTTGGCGGGCGAACGGCTTCTGAGGCTGGGCTCCGAGGAAGGAGCGATACTACTGTACGATGGACTGCTGAGACGACCAGAAAGCGGGCGACCACACGCCAGCCTGCCAGCAAGGCGCGTTCTGAATGGTGATGTTCTCCACTGATGTGTCGGCGAGGCGATCAGCAAACGGCTCCCAATCACCCGCGAAAGTGACGGCAGCAGAGCGAGCAGCGGCAGCGACAGATGTGACCTGAGCGAACTGTGGGACAGATGGTGGGCTCCACCACGCCATGGCAATGAAATCAACCTTGCGAAATGAGTTCGGCGGCAGGCTAAGCAGGAGGAGGAGGAGGAGGAGGAGGAGGAGGAGGAGGAGGAGGAGAGGAGGAGGAGGAGGAAGAAAAGGAGGAGTAGGAGGAGGAGGAGGAGGAGGAGGAGGAGGAGGAGGAGGAGGAGGGTGGGGAACCAGTTCCCCCCAACCGAAGGCATCGAGGTCTCGGCGTGCCGCGGCTGACTGAGAAAAGACCCCACGGCCGACTCCAGAATCCCCGACCGACCCCGTGCAAAATCAGCCGCCGTGCCGTCTGCCACCTTGCCGCCCGAAACATTACCCCAGTGCGACCCGACCTAGAAGTTGGAGCCCCTAGGAAAGCAGCATTAGTTGTTATGCTATGCTATGCTATGCTATGCTATGCTATGCTATGCTATGCTATGCTATGCTATGCTATGCTATGATATGCTGCGCTATGCTATGCTATGCTATGACATGATATGTTATGATATGCTGTGTTATGCTATGATATGCTATGCTGTACTGTGCTATGCTGTGCTGTGCTGTGCTGCGCTGTGTTATGCTATGGTATGCTATGCTATGCTGCGCTATGCTATGCTATGCTGGGCTATGCTATGATATGCTATGCTGTGCTATGCTATGTTACGCTATGCTATGATATGCTGTGCTCTGCTATGCTAAAGCTCAGCGAAGCTAAGATGAAGGTAAGCTAAGCTAAGCTAAACCTGAGCTAAGATGAAGCTAAGCTAAGCTAAGGTGAAATAAGCTAAGCTAAGATTATGTAAGCAACGCTAAGCTAAAGGGACGTAACTGGGGGAACCGCGGGGCGGATACTGGGGGAACCGCCTGGGCCGGTTCCCACTGCCCCGCCCTTTAAGCTAAGAGGGTAAGAACCCTTCTAGGCAGAGCCTAAATAGGAAACAATCGGGAAAGTTGGATGCGTACGGGGCTGTGTTCACACATCTGTTCAAATCGACCGCGGGTGATCTCCAAGGACATTAGCAACGAACTGATTGAACAACCCACGGGTTCAAACTGAGTGCTCGTTTCGCTCGAGCCAATCCCTCAACATTTTTCTGCTCTTCGAACGGCAAATACGGAAGGTGCCACGTGTGACGGTTCGATTATTGGTATTCCCCCTCTTCTCATCATCACCATCATCCTCATCATCATCGTCATCATCATCCATTGTCGTCGTCCGACCCGAAATAGCAGAGGTGTCACGTATGACGGTTTTGGCGCCCGCCTCGCGATAGCATATTATCATCATTACCATCATCATCATCACCATCACCACGTTATCAGCATCATCATCATCATCATCATCATCATCATCATCATCATCATCATCATAAGTTTCCGTCTTCGCCCGCTCAGAAGTGGCAGAGGTTTCACATGTGACGCTTCCGCGAAGCAAAGACGAAACGTGTCGCATGTGACGGTTATGAGATTCCTCCTCATCCTCCTCCTCATGATCACTGTACTCGCTTTCCCGAAACGGCCGAAGTGTCACGCATGACGGTTTGGGCGCTTGCCTCGCGGGAGATTATCATCACCATCATCATCATCATCATCATCATCATCATCATCATCATCATCATCATCATCATCATCATCGCCATCATCCTTGCGATCTTCGTCCGTTTTGAACGGCAGTGGTGTCACATATGATGCTTCAAGCGTCACATGTGACACCTCTGCCGTCATCAACATCATCACCACCACCATCACCACCATCACCACCACCGTCGAGCCTTGAAATACAATGCGCCACAAGCGAGGAGGACGTCCGTGCTACCTCGCGCAAAGCCCACCGAGACAACTGGACAGGCACGGTGGCACTTTGCTTCTTATACTAATACTCCGACGACTGCTAATACTGCCAGGGGGGTGCGAAGGGGGGTGCGAAGGGGGGGTGCGAAGGGGGGGTGCGAAGAAGTGGGTGCGAAGAAGGGGGGTGCGAAGAGGGGTACGAAGGGGGGGTGCGAAGGCGGGGTGCGAAGAAGGGCACGTTGTCCTTTACTGGCCCTTCCTCCAAGCCATTGTTCATTTCGAAAGAGTGTTTCTGATGTGTTCTGGACGGTGGCGCACCGCCGCTCACCCCCCTCCTCCTCTTCCTCGTCCCTCCCTCCTCTCGCCCGAAATATAACGCCACATTTCTTTGCATTGGCACTGCGCACGCACGAATTTGCACAACATTCCACGCACTCACACAACACTTGTTCTAACAATTGTGTCCCTTTTTCCTTTTTTCACGGAACCCCAAGAAGCACTTTTTAAAACACTTGTTCGACGCTTCGACTGGGCTGGTTCCAGAGAGCGGCTGTAAGGGGTCAGGAGCATCTCAAGCCTAGGGGGCCAGTCGCAGGCAATCTTGGGCGGCCTTGGAAGATTGTCTTGATTTATTGGGCCTCCGGGGGTCCATTGGGGAGAAGGGGGACCGAAACACAAAGGGGAGGGCCGGCCTGGGGCCCTGGGCCGTGTGTATGTATGTGTCTGTATGTATGTATGTATGCATGTATGAATATATGTCTCTCTCTCTCTCTCTCTCTCTCTCTCTTTACATATCGTTATACATATATACACACGTGTGAACATGTGTATGCGTATGTGTACATGTGCATGTGCCTGTGTATGTGTATGTGTGTATGTGTGTATGTGTGGGTACATGTATGTGTCTGTGTAGCTGTATGTGTATGTGTTTGTGTTTCTGTATGTGTATATGTGTGTATGTCTGTATGTGTACATGTGCATGCTTATGTGTATGTGAATGTATGTGTGTGCACGTGCGCGCTCCCACGCCAGCGGCTCTCAGACGGTTGAAAGCGGTGAGCACGAAGGTCGCAGACTCCGCCCGCATCCCCCCCAACAGACCGGGCGGACACCAGCGCGCCGCGCTCCCCCCCAAAAACGGAGACGCTGGCATCCCGAAGATGACTGCA